GTTAGAGGAGGACAGAGAGAGCGGCAAGGGGTGAAGTGATGGGTAGAGGTCAGGGAGGGGGAGGCTGGAGTGGGGGGGAGGCTTGGGTTGGAGGGGTCAAGGAGGAGTAGGGGGTTAGATGATGATAGAGCGGCAAGGGGTGAAGTGATGTGGTGGGGGAAGGGGAGGGAGGGGATAAATGGGGTAGTGGAGTCAAGGGAAGGAATAGGTGCTGTGTGGGGACGGAGTTAAAGGAAGGTGACTGGGGCAAAGTGTGTGGGTGGGTTAGGGATGAGAAGGTTGGAGGGGGCAGGGAGGGGGAATCTGGGTTGGGGGGTTGCAGGGAGCAGGCTGGGAAGAGGGTTGGGGGCAGGTAGGGGAAGGCTGGGGTGAGGGGTTGAGGGGACAGGGTGGGGGAGATTGGATGGGGTTCAAGGAGGGAATCTGAAGTGGGTGGGTTGGAGGTGGAGGTTGGCTAACGGGTTGCAGGAGGAAGTGATGGGGAGGCTAGAATGAATTAGGTTAGAGATGGAGGCATGAGGGTGAGAGGGGTTACCAGGATCTGGAAAAAAGAGACCAAAGTGTCTCAGGAATAGGGGGACTGGGGCAATGAGGGAAACCAGGGCGGGAGAGAGAGAGATTCAGGGCATGGCTTGGCAGCTAAAGGGACACAGACTCTTACTAGTGATAATAAAGTGGCAGTTTGCAGGCCAGGAAGTTCAGATGAAGACTGAAGGCCTTTTTGGAGGTTATACTTTAGCCAGCACAAGTTTTTGGCCTCAATCCAGAAGTAACTGGATGAAATGTAATGGCTGGTGTTATCCAAGGAGTCAGATTAGATGATTAGACTCTTTTGATCAATAACAAGCCAAAGAGACTGAGGTGGATCTGGAGGACTGGGTGCATAATTGAAGTGGCAGTTTTCAAGGGTTGAAGACTTGGGGGTTGTTTGCAATCTTGATAGACAAGGGTTCTGTAGATAGTTGACAGGGCCATGGGGCAGTTTACCTCATTAGGGAGAGGATAATACAGGGGTATTTTATCAAAACAATTAGAGGTAGGAGCAGATTTTTAGATCATGTCCATCCCCTATCCTACCCTACAGGCATTTAGATTTAAATAGAAACAGCCTGTGAAAATCAGTTGTGTCTGGAAAGGTCAGAAAAAATTATCTTCTGATGTTAGGGCCTAATCCTGCAAAATGCCCAGCATCTTCCGCTTCCAGTGACTGCAATGAAAATTGAGCCTTCTCAGCACCTTACCCACACATAAAATGTCGTTCTGTTCAGTGGAGTGCCCAAACACAGGCCACTGGGCTGAGTGGAGTTTCTTTTGCAGAGGCATCTCTGCAAATGCCTCCTTTTTTGAACCAGAGTGGGCTTTGCATTTGGAACAATTCAAGTTGAGAGAGAAGTCTGGCGCTTTCAGTCTTGTAGAATTGCTCTTCCTGGGGTCGCAGGCTGGAGGACAATGGGAGACCCTGATTAGAGATCCAAGCTGGATTGTGGTGTTGCTGGGGGCTGGATATGAAAACTCTAATTTTCTGTTATGGGACAATATTAATCTCTGGTGCAGCTCCACTGATTTTGGCCCATGAATCTGAGTGACCTTTGGGCTAACATCTCTATTCAAACTTTGAAATGAATGAGTCCATTTCAAAAGGCCAGTATGAACTTTAGAGGACTAATACTAAGGTATTAGCTGATGGGTGTGGGAAATATTTTTGTATGTTGTTTTCTGGTAACACTCACAAGGTGGATAGTCACTGTCCACTGACACAGGGAGACACAAAGACCAGCTGTTCATAATCCTGCATTTTGTGTAAACTTGTGAGAGTAAAAGTCTACCAGCACCATTGTGAGTGTAGATTTCTGATTTGCTAGCATTTGATACCCACGTTTCACTGGTGTAAAGGGCAGCGGAAGGTGCTATGCAGCGGAGAGTCAAACCCCTGTCGGTTCTCTGAAGACCTTACAATCTAAGGCCTTCTATACATGAGGAAATTGTTCCTGTTTAACGTAATCAGTTTTAGAAACAAGTTTAGTTAAATCGGTTTTACTACCTTGCTTGAACACTCTTCTTCCAGATGCTATATACCAGATCTACTTACCAATTTAAGCTAAATCGTTGCAACACACTCTGAAACTCAGTGTGTCTTTGTTTAGACAAGTGCTAACATTTTCTAAAGCACTTAAGTGACATAGGTGCCTAAGTTGCATTGAAAGTCAATGTGACAGGCTCCTAAATCACTTCAGCATTTCTGAAAACATTACCCAAGGCTTGAGGAAAATAACAACAATCATCCCTGGCTCTTAGATCTCAAAGGAGTATCATGTCAGTATCATTATTCCCATTCTGCAGAGGGAAACTGAGGCCCAGGGTGGTGAAGTGGCTTGCCCAGGGTAATCCAGTAGGCCGGTGGCAGAGCCCTAGTCTCCACGCCAGCCATTAGGCCACACTGCAAACAGGTGGGAGAGGGATATTAGCACAGTGTGTACAATTTATATATACACACCCTGTACATTTTTATACTTAGAATATATTTTTATTTAAATATATTCTATTTTAATTATTGGAAAAAGGAGAATGGTTAATTGAACTAGAAGGAGAGCACAGAAGAGATAGGTTAGTTGGGGTTCATATCTGAAGGATATTCCTATCTTAAGGTGACATGCTATTCAATAGTTTCTTGTGGTGGCCGTGCTAGGAGTTAGCTGCCAGCTGTTACAAAGATCCTTTAAGTTCTTTTTAATATGGTCATGACTTACAGACTTCCATGGCAAAACCATCCAATGCAATCAGTTCCCGTTTAATGCCATGCATCTCCAAGGCTTTCTGAAGCCAGTGGGTCCTGTGAGGGGACCCCCTGCATCCCCCTATGACTTACAATTGCAGCTAGAGGGCCAATTGCATCTCCTCTCAAGGGATGTATTAATAAGGAGCCAGCACTGCTGAGGAGTAGTACACGAGACATCGCTCTGCATTCGCCACCAATCTCACCATTTTCTGCAGGCCAGTAAAACGGTTTTGTTCAGGCTAGTCCAGAGTTGCCACAGACCATAAAGATTCAGCTACAAAGATGTACTTACGGAAGCTTTATTAGAATTTAGTTATTACAGAAGGACTTCATACCAGGCGTCCCAGCCATCTGCTCCTTGTTCATTTTCACTCATGCGTTTGAGCTTGGGAAGCAAAGCATTATCTGAAGTGAGGGTGGTGGCCCTTGAGCTAAGAGCTAGAGCACTTCGGCAGATCTTTATCCCATGGCACTGCAGATCTGTCTAGGTCTATTTGAAGGCCTCCACCAGATTACACACACTGTTTATTCAATCAAAAAGAACCCAACCACATCTTGCTTCCAAACCCATTTCTAAAAGAATCATTGCTTTCTCTCGCTCCTGACCACGTTGTGTCTATGGGATTTTCACCGCGAAAGCAGAGGAGTCTGGATTTTGGAACTGGACTTTAGCTGGATTCTATTCCATTCCCCGAATTTAGCACCTCTCTCTCTTTGTGATTTACCCAGAAATGGACTTATCAATTTTGTTTGTCATTCAAAGTGATTTCATGAATGGTTCATGGGGACATTTCTCACACCCGCTATTTGCCATGCTATTGCTTTGAGCATTCGCTAGTTAGAATCTGCACGGTGGACTTGGTCATCTGTGTCACACGGCATCACTTCCACTCCTTGACTGATTGACCCCTAAACCTGCAAAGCGCATGTAAGCTGGCCGTGCAAGCACACCGGGCGGGAGCGGGGGGCAAATACAGATTCACCTTTTGACATTTTCCCTTTCCAGGAATATTCTTGCAAACTAAATTTCGCTGGCACAAATGAATAGTAGGGGGTTGTGGGTACCCCGGGAGCAAATTCACAAGTTGTATTGTAATTAATACTCCTCTGCAGCATTCACCCACTTGTGCCCAGGAGGTGGGTGGTGGCTGCGAGACACGGATACTCCTCCTGACACCACAGTGACAGCCCGGCCACTTTTCACCTTGTATTTAGTGACTGCTGTTAGGATATAGATATTCAGGCCTGTCTGTAAAGGCCTATACTCTAAGAATTTAGGTGTATTCTTATCACTTGGCTAGTGATAGAGGTATAAAAGAAAGAATCAAAACCACTGTCTGCCAGTGTAAGGGCCTTCTCTTACTGTGACAGTTTGTGGCCCTGTGCTTAGGCTCAGGCCTTTGGCTAAGCAGCAGAGGCAGCCATAAGCTGGGAAGCGACCGGTCACATCCTCACATTCCAAACTAGTCACATTGAAATAAGGTGCTATTGGGCTGTTAGGCACTATCAGGACAGGATTGTATTCCTATCACCTCCAGAGAAAGGGAAGTGCCTAGAAAATGTAAAAGGAAACTTAGTTTGATAGCATCCTGTCTGGCAAGAACTCACTTATCAATAGCTGGGATGTGAAATCCTCACTTCTGTATTGTTTTGTCATTATAGTTCCCACTTTGCTGTTGTTTGTCTGTATAATCTCTGTCTGGTTCTGTGATTGTTCCTGTCTGCTGTATAATTAATTTTGCTGGGTGTAAACTAATTGAGGTGGTGGGATATAATTGGTTACATAATCATGTTACAATATGTTAGGATTGGTTAGTTAAATTTCAGGAAAATGATTGGTTAAGGTATAGCTAAGCAGAACTCAAGTTTTACTATATAATCTGTAGTCAATGAGGAAGTGACTGGGTGTGGGTGGGTGTGTGAGAACAGGGAATGGGGGTAAGAAAATTGGAATCATGTTTTGCTAAAGGGGGAGATGGGAACAGGGAATGGGGGTAAGAAAATTGGAATCATGTTTTGCTAAAGGGGGAAATGGGAACAGGGAATGGGAGTAAGGAAGTTGGAATCATGTTTGGCTAAGGGCAGGAATGGGAACAGGGACACAGGTGTAAGGCTCTGTGGTGTCAGAGCTGGGAAGGAGGATACTAAGGAAGGAAACTGGAATCATGCTTGCTGGAAGTTCACCCCAATAAACATCGAATTGTTTGCACCTTTGGACTTCGGGTATTGTTGCTCTCTGTTCATGCGAGAAGGACCAGGGAAGTAAGTGGGTGAAGGAATAAGCCCCCTAACAACTGCAAAGCCAATAGCTGGGCTGGCATTCTCAGAGCGTCTGTGCTTGTGTGTGTGGGGGACAGTGGGGGACTTCCCACCCAACAATTCCCTTCCCCAGCGTGCGAGAGATGGTCATCACAGTCAGCACACGCAGCAACTTCCAGCCTCCAGCTACCTACCGCCATGGATCCTGAACACACAAGGCACCAGGCCAAGCTATGCTGCAGAACGTTTAATGTGCAAGCGAAGGCAGTCAAAGCCAATGCAGGGGAGCCCAAAAACGTACTACCTCTTTTTTCTTACTCTTTGAGGGATACTAAGTTCCTGCAGACGGGCACTCGCCTCTGTGTGCAGGGCAGCACTGGAGATCCTGTACGGGTTGTAGCCCTCAAAGATCTGTTTGCGGACCTTGGGTCGGGCAAGCTCAGAGAGCCTCGCTGACATGACGGCATTCCTGGCGCCCGCAGACACGGCCCACCGGATGGGTTTGTCATGGAGATAGGACGGATGTTCTGTTTTTGGCCCTGCGAGAGCAGAGTGGAAAGAGAGAGAGCAAATGCTTCATGTTTTAATCTGAGGCTCAACACTGGGAAATTTCTTGAGGTTTCTGTCTTGAGGCTGGAATATACACTTTTAGTTAAGTTGATCCTAAGTGTCTCGAGCCCCTTCCCTGTGAGGATCTCAAGGCATTTTACAAGCATTCATTCGTTAAGCTTCACAGCACCTCAGTGAGGCAGGTGTGTTATCCCTATTTTGTGGATGGAGGAATAGAGGCACTGAAGGGCCCAAGGCCATGCACTGACTCAATTGCAGAGCTGGAGTCTAGAACCTAGATATTCTGTCAGTTCTGTGCTCTAACCACTAGACAACACTCCTCACAACAGGGCTAATACTCAGCACCAATATAGTGCATTTGTTCTACAGACTCTGACTAATCCATCCTGAACTCGAGATGTGACATTTTAAAACCACTTGCTGTCGAGAGACGCTGGCTAAGACCGGAGGGTGAAGTGAGGGGGAGCTCTGTGCCATCTCCTGAGCAGAAGGGACGGGCTCTGATTTTGCTTCTGGGTTTGATCATTGGCAGCTTATCCCTCAGTGACACAGGCAGCCCCTCCTCCGCCTCTCTGATTGAGCAGGGAAGGGACTTGGAGGAAGGCAGGAGAAGCTATCCAGCCTTGGGAGTACACACAATGAGCTTTGTTTGGAAAGTTGGTTTCCCCAAAACCCAGATATTTCTCTAGAAGATTTATTTCTTTTGCTGCACAGCCCCAGCTGATGGGATTTCTCACAGGGGTGCAGCAGGAAGAACCTGGAGGCGAAAGGCTTGTGACTATCAACAAGGAGGGGAGCACGGTCTCTTACGGGCTAAGTAGGCAGTCCTGGTGAATTGTGTGATGCTTCGTGGAGGCGTGGGTGGGGCGTCCTGCTTGGCCGAGAAGTCCCGTTTCTTTGGTTTAGCCAGCTGGGTGGTCCGTTCCCGGGCAGCGGCAGTCATGGCTCCTTTGCTCACCTGAAACCAAAATGCTTAGACTTAGGCTCGGGTCAGTTTGGAATTCCTCCAGCTCCCCCGGCTGTGGATATTTTAAAGAAATGAAACTTTTCAGTCTTGCATAGCATGAACTCGAACTTCCCTGATGGTGCACGGGGTGGCCATTTGGAATTGCATTTCCTCAGCGGGGTCAGATCTCTGTGCTGCAACAACACTCAGCACTCCTCACAAGTGCTACAGGAAAGATTCACCAAGCAGTATAAGGCCTATGACATTCCCGTGGACAGTTCTGACTCCATCCAGCAGAAGGCGGTGCTGTACACACACACACACACAGAGCAGTGCGGGCTCGTGATTAGATAACCATACCAGGACAGCTAGGAGACTCTATACTGAGCCAATGACTTACTGTGTGACAATAGTTAAATAACTCAACTCAGACGGGAAACTGGGTAAAAGGAAAAGGGAAAACAAAAAGATCAGCAAGTTCTCGCAAAAAACAGGTGTTGCTTTAATGCTGAGTTTTCCAGAGGCAAGAGGAAAAATGGAACATAAACATGAGCTGCAAGTTTCCAAGATTACAGTTACTTTGGGCATACAAACAACAGCAGACTTCACATTAATGTAGCAGCTACCCACGCATGTAACACGTGAAACTTTGCTATGCATGGATATGATGACATGCCTGCTGCCCTATGTCCCTCTTCACGCCCCTTTCTTCCCCCTCCCCAAGATCCACCAGATTTAAAAGTATGGGGTGAGTCAGCTGCAGAGCGACTTGCTCAGAGACTTTCAAACATTACATGGAGATTACATTTGCTTGGGGTTTATTTGTCGGCAAAGCATCATGCCTACCTGGGGCCCTGTAGAACTAATGACTTGTGGGCTATGCTGTAGGTTGCTGGTAACTGCAAATATGCTCTTTGTTATTTGGCCCTGTGGCCCAATTCTCTTCCTACAGGATATGAAGGGCCTGATTTTTCATTGCCTTGCACCTTCCAGTGCAGAGTGAGTGTGAAAAACGCTACACCTGGCGCAGGGGAGGTCCATGATTAGGGCTTCTAGATGCTACAGGAATACAAAAAATACCACATTGGAAAGAGGACATGGCATGGTCTTGTGGCTAGGGTCTTGGGAATGGGAGTCAGGAGATCTGGGTTCTCTTCCTGGTTTTCTACAGACCTGCAGTGACACCTTGGACAAATCGCCTCACCGTTCCTTGCCTCAGTTTCCCCTTCCACCCCATTGTCTGTAAGCTCTTCCGGGCAGGGACCGTCTTTCACCATGTGTCTGTGCATCACCTCGTGCAACCTCAGTTCGGGCCTCTCGGTACTACTGTAATAGAAGTAGTTAGTGATACTAATAGTTTCACGTCCACTTTGCACTGGTGCAAATGAACGTTCAAGGCAGAGACCAGCAGTGAATCAGGGCCATCGTCATCAGTGGAAGTTACTCCTACCCTGCGGCAGGAGAACTGGAGACTGTAGAGGCTGATGGTTGAAAATGTTATGGCTGATGCAGGCAAACGGGTAAAAACCCAACACACGCGCACACAAATACCCCTGTTGTCAATAAGGATCCGTTGTCAAACACAAAGAACCTTGCAGATAGAGGGGTGACAGACTCACAGCACTACGGATGTACGTACTCTGGTGTAGACAGGCCAGTCAGCTTCCCAGGCATTGCTGACAAGTTTCGGATGCGCCAGCTCCTTCACCCTGGGGGAAGCCACAGCATGTCTGGAGGCAACACTCACTGGCCACATTGGGAAGGATCTGTGTTCAGCAGAAGAGGGAAGGGTGGTGATTTGGTTAGGACCCATGAAGCAACAACACTCTGCGTGTACGCACCACCTTCAAACCCGCGGGATCCTAAAGTGCTCAGCAAACAAGACAGGGTAGCAACCGTCAGCATAAGCAACACAGTGTCTATGCAGATGCTGTGTTGACCAAAGCACTATGCCTCTCGTGGAGGGGGAGTTATTAAGTCAGCATAGCGGGCGAGTTATATGGGCAGGTAACATTTTAGTGTAGACACTTACAGAGTTGGGGTGGTGTAAGCTGCCTTGCGTTGACCTAAGTCTGTAGTGTAGACCATGGCTTAGTTTCATAAACTCCATGTTGAAGTTCCCATTAGCAGCTCAGCCAGAAATGGTCAATCTGACCATTTGACATAACATTGGGTTATAAATGGAGCCGTTTTTGGGTAGCAAATCATCCGTGAATCCAATTTCCATGCATCCATCCAATTTCCATGCATCGATTCATATTTGTCAGTTTTTACCCAGCAATTCTTTGAAAAAGTTTGGCATGTCTACACTTTGAGCTGCGGGTCTGATCCCCAGCTCAAGGAGACATACTCAAAACAGAGTGTGGCCGCAGCAGTGCAAGTGGTGGGAGGTGCTAGCTACCCCGAGTCCGTGTCTAGTATCTCAGATGGGTACATACACCTTTCCCACCACTCGTGCTGCCATGGCTACGCTGCTATTTTTAGTGGGCTAGCTCATCAGAGCTAGTGTGGGTATGTCTCCTCAAGCCAGAAATTATGCCTTCCAGCTCGAGGCACAGTCAGACCCATTTCACTGTCTTGGGTGTTTCCTATGACTATCTGGTATTCCTGTTGGTGACCTCAAATCACCTGGCATTCTTTCTGCTTCCTGGATGGGTAGCTGAGCCTTCGTAAGTAGGGAAATAACAAATAATCCACTTTCCAGTTTGGATTTTCAGACTTGTAAATGTTTCTGCTAAAATTCATGAAACTTACAAGGTTCGCCATCATCTAGCTATCTGCCAGTCTATGTATTTATACAACCCATAACCACAGCGGCTGCCCAGAAACACAATGAATAATATGGTCTCACAGCAAATCAAACTTGGAACTTTAATTCATGAAAATATTCATGGATCCGAATTTAAAAAACAAAACAAAAACAAAAAAAACCCCTATCCAATCGGATCTACGCGTGACACAGAAATCATTCTAGTCAATTTTTCCGCACCTGTTTTCTTCAAATCCTCGGTAGATCTTTTTGGATCGAGAAAGTTCGGCCTGTCGTGGCGTTAAGACTGGGGAGGAAGAACAGTGAACTGTAAACCATGGAGCTTTTTCTGACAGAGTCCCATCACCTTCGCTGTACAACATCCCATGAAAGACATGAATGCATGTTCTCTGCCTGGCCCAGCAGGGATTCGGGAGCAAGAGGGAGGAGGTTTATTCAGGACACCAAGGGTCAGCTTTCTGACATAGCTGCAGATGCTCAGTGCTGAGGTCTCTTGGAAAGCTGGCCTCAGCTGTGGAAAGTGAGCACTTGCGAATCTGGCACTAAGCCCGGGCCATAAATATTAAACAACACGCCCTTCTGCTGACGAAAGAGCAGTCCTGATGGGCTTTGAAAGGGACTTCTCTCTAGTCCTCAGCTGAAAGGATAGCAGCTTGTTGACTGAAGCCCTAGAAGATTGAGGACCAGGTCCTCAAAAGTATTTTTAGGTGCCTAACTCCCACTGATTTCAGGGGAAAGAAAATGACCCCTTAAGCCACATGATGCAAGCAAACATCTTGAAAGGCGACTTTGAACGTGCCTGCATGACGACACTGGATTGCAGGTTGGGTTCTTGAAGGTGCGGTGCTTGAGTGGGTGTGACATTAGGCAAAAAGAAGTGTGCTTCTCCCTAGCATTAGCCCACTGGATTGATTCTGGCCACTGAACATCCTAACTGTATCTTGGCTGAACAGATGCATCTGAAGTCAACTGCAAAGCTGAGATTAGACTCCAATGGAAAGCTACACAAAACCAAGTGCCAAAGTCTGTTTCAAAATGCTGGCAAAGGGTGCACCCCTTCGTGAGTAATGCGTGATATGACCCTAGGACACTACACACTCTGAGCAGTATGGGCCCTTGTTTACTCGTCTGGGGCCTGGACTAAGAACAACTTATTTCTGAGGCCAGCAAACATCCTTACACATGGAGCTGACTTTTGGACATGACAGACTCGGACTGGGGACTGACAGAGGGGAAAAGCTCAGTGTCCCATTGCCAGTCCCCGGAGCCATGCACTCCTCCTAGATTTACCATTTAACCCGCTTTTAGATCATACAGACTCTCTGGTTAATGTCTCATCTTGCGGTAAAATGGTCATCTTACCCGGGACTGTGAATCTGTGAGTCTTCGAAGGCAATTTATCTGTCCAGTATACTGAAATCCTGCAACAACCACCGAACACCTAGTCAGTTTATTGGCAGTGAACATGAAGTGTTATCCCCATTCTTCAGACCTTCTGAACCCAGGGGCATGCAGAAGTGAGGGCAAGCGGGGGCACCCCAATAATTGTTGGGCGCACAGAGCTCCTCCGGCCCCAGGGCTGCAGTGGTGAGGGTGGGGAAGAGCCAGCTCCTGCCTGGCCAGGGAAGGAAGAGTTGGGGTGGGGGGGGGGCCTGCTGGGGCTGGGAGGAAAGAGCAAGCATCTGCTGGGGGGTTGGGGAAGAGCAATCTCCCCCCAGGGCAGGGGGGCACCCCCCCAAAAGGAATCAAAGTAAAATGTCTGCGCGTGCCCCTGTCTCAGTCCAAGCTTCATCTAGGCCCTAATCCCATTCCCAGTGAAGTCATTGGCAAAGTTCTCATAGGTTTTAATGGGATCCTGCCTGAGCCGCTGGGTACGTACTTGGGCGGCGAGCCTAAGATACAGCAGCCACACCATTATTTTTAGGAGATATCTCGAGCAGAGCTCGAGCAGGTATGTCCGCCCCTGCTGCGAATGACACCTCCCGGCTGCTATGTACGCCTACACGGACAATAATTCATCGGACTTACATGGGCACTTTTCCTCTCTACATCTCAAAGCACTTTACAAAGTTAACCCCATTTTGCAGTGGGGGAACTGCAGGTCTGTCTATACTATAGTTAGCTCAGGTATTGGCCCTAACACCCTTCTGTCCACACAACTACACCGGGGTAGCTGGCCCAGCTGGGGGTTCGGCTAGAGTCCAGATGTGTCTTCTACTTGGGCTGGTAACCCACCCAGATTGCAGTGAGGACGTGGGCTAGTGCACCACTCCAGTGCTGATAAGTCCTCCAGTGCCTTCCCATAATTCCCCTTGTGTGCCCAGAAGGACTGACAAGTTCTCCCACAATTCACTGGGATTCACAGAGCGGCTCAGCTGACTGCAGCAGAGAAAACCATGGGACAAGTCCCCAGAAATCCTAGCGACCCCGCCGGGGAGCGCAGAGCCAGTAACTCAGGTCAGGCTTTGCCGTGTGGCTGCTCCCACCTGGGCACGGATACCCTGAAGCACAGGGAGACAAAAAGACTTACGCATGGAAGAGCCAGGGATAGTACCCAGGGCTCCCGACTTCCCGGTTTTGTGACCCAGCCACCGGCCCACACTGCTAATCTAACCACTGTCAGACCAGGGTGGTTTACCTGCAGAGAGACAGTCCCTCTGCGACAGTAGCCGGAGAAGGCAATAAGTCAGTCGCTGAAGGATGGTCTTCTAGTTAAGGGACTGGCCTGGGACTCAGGAGCTCTGGGCTCTGTCACTGACTCTCGGGGTGACCTTCTTCTCTGTGCCCCGGGATGCTTTTCCCTCCCACACCGCACAGCAGACAGTGGCTTTCTTTTTTTTTAGCAGCTTTGGGCTCTTTGCACCCACATCAGACCGCACCCTAGCAAACCCATTGAGTTGTTTTGTAAACTCTCTGTGCTGCTGAGGTGTTTAATTAGAGAACAAGCTCTGTAGCTAGGACACTCGGAATCTTTAAAGGGTACCGAGGTGTCCGGATGCCTGGGTTCTATTCCCAGCTCTGCCATTGACGTGTTATGTAGCCTAGGGGAAGTCACTTCACTCCTCTGTGCCATGGTCTCCCCATCAATAAAATGAGGTTAGTTAATAATCCTTACCTACCTTAAGCAACTATGTAAGTGCCAAGCATTATTATTTAGTGCAAAGAGTAACAGACATGTAGAATATGCTGGTAACGGAAGCAGGGTGTATATGAATCCCAGAGTTGCCTAAAACCATATTTTGATCTCACCACACCAGACTGACTCCAGAGTCATTCCACTGCAGTCAAAGGAGTGACTCCAGATTTACACTGGTGTACAGGAGAGCAGAATACGATCTCTCAGTTTTGTTTCTGGAGAAAGGAGGAAGACACAGGGCTGAGATCACCCTTATGGTTATGAACAGGGCATAGTTGCACTCGCCTGTTGCAGATGATCTGGTGATTGACTTTCGGCTGGGCGAGGGAACTGATGCGTCTCTCCCTGGTGCTGTCCCATGCCTGGGCATGAGTTACCATAGCAATCGGCTTCTCGGGAAATGCTCCAGAGCTTAGTTCCCTTCCAGAAGATGTGAGATGCTTTCAGGCGCCAGCTTCGTGTTACCGCATACCTGAGGGGATGATAAAGGTGCTTTTGAATCAAAGACAACCACTTTGTGACTAACACACCTGAGGGGTTTGCATGGGGATCGACAGGCTCTCAGGGCAAAAGGCATTCTGTTACCTTGAATCACCGTAAGTAGCCCCACAGAGTAATGTGCTGTGCAGCGAGAGGGTGACAGAATCAATAATAATAATAAATATATTTTATTATAGGTGTGTACAGCTCCTAGCACAATACAGCCTTGATCCATGACAGGACTCTCTAAGTCAGGGGTGGGTAAACTACGGCCCAGGGGCTGCATCCGGCCCTCCAGATGCTTTAATCCAGCCCTCAAGCTCCCGCCGGGGAGTGAAGTCCAGGGCTTGCCCCGCTCTGGCACTCCAGCTGGGGAGTGGGGTTGGGGGCTTGCCCCACTCCGTGTGGCTCCCAGAAGCAGTGGCATGTCCCCCCTCTGGCTCCTACACATAGGGGCAGCCAAGGGGCTCCACATGCTGCCCCCACAGTTCCCATTGGCTGGGAACTGCAGCCAATGGAAGCTGTAGGGGCAGCACCTGCGGACAGGGCAGTGCGCAGAGCTGCCTGGTCATGCCTCCACGTAGGAGTCAGAGGGGGGACATGCCGCTGCTTCCGGGAGCTGCTTGAGGTAAGTGCCACCTGGAGCCTGCACTCCTGACCCCTTCCTGCACCCCAACCCCTCGCCCCAGCCCTGATCCCCCTCCTGCCCTCTGAACCCCTCAATCCCAGCCTGGAGCACCCACCTGCATTCCCAACCCCTCATCCCCAACCCCACTCCAGAGCCCGCACCCCCGGCCAGAGCCCTCCCCCTCTGCACCCCAACCCCCTGCCCCAGTCTGGAGCCACCCCCCACACCCTGAACTCCTCATTTCTGGCCCCACCCCAGAGCCCGCACCCCCAGCCAGAGCCCTCACCCACTCCCGCACCCCATCCCCCAATTTCATGAGCATTCATGGCCCACCATACAATTTCCATACCCAGATGTGGCCCTCGGGCCAAAAAGTTTACCCACCCCTACTCTAAGTGCTTCAGCTCTGAAATAAATATATATTACATATATCACATAATTTTATATATTACAATATATAACGGTATTTATGTCAGATTCCAAGGCCATAGGGGAACCACCATATTAATAATCTAGTCTGTCCTCCTGCATAACACAGGCCAGAGAACTTTCTCAAAATAATTCCTAGGGCAGAGCATTTAGACAAATAGCCACTTGTTATATTATTATTAAACGTACTGTCCATTGTTGTGTTATATGTGTTTATGCAGCCCCTAGCGCAATGGAGCCCCCAGTAGCTAGTGACGATCTCTAGGGGTCACTGCAAGACAAGGCGGATGATTATGATGATCAAACAGTCCTTCGCTGACTGCAGCTTTCGCTGAAATCAATAGCGATTTTTCATGTTTAAAGACCACAGAATGCGGCCCATTATTTGTTAATCTTCAGAGTCGATGCTGTAATTACCCAGCCCCTGTCCTATGGCTGACATTTTCCTATCAGACTAATACGGATTAAAAGGGCTAAAATACACAAGATTAAAACCACAATTACAGTCTTAGAGGGAAAAAGAAAAGGAGGACTTGTGGCACCTTAGAGACTAACCAATTTATTTGAGCATAAGCTTTCGTGAGCTACAGCTCACTTCATGGGATGCATTCAGTGGAAAATACAGTGGGGAGATTTTATATACACAGAGAACATGAAACAATGGGTGTTATCATACACACTGTAAGGAGAGTGATCACTTAAGGTGAGCTATTACCAGCAGGAGAGCAGGGAGGAGGGGGGGAAACCATTTGTCGTGATAATCAAGGTGGGCCATTTCCAGCAGTTGACAAGAACGTCTGAGGAACAGTGGGGGGGAATAAACCAGGGGAAATAGTTTTACTTTTGTAATGACCCATCCACTCCCAGTCCCTATTCAAGCCTAAGTTAATAGTATCCAGTTTGCAAATTAATTCCAATGCAGCAGTCTCTCGGTGGAGTCTGTTTTTGAAGTTTTTTTGTTGAAGTATTGCTACTTTTAGGTCTGTAATCGAGTGACGAGAGAGATTGAAGTGTTCTCCGACTGGTTTTTGAATGTTATAATTCTTGACGTCTGATTTGTGTCCATTTATTCTTTTTGCGAATGCAGACTAACACGGCTGCTACTCTGAAACCAGTCTTAGAGGGTTTGTCGGTAACACATGATTATGTCAATTTCAGGCCGCTCAAGCTGTAACAGTTTCAGTGAGGGCATCTTTTGCCTGTGAACCATCAGAGGGGAAGCGTTGAAATGCTGCCCTAAAATCAGTCCCATTGCCTGGGAGGCTGCTTGCTATGCTAACCATCAGGAGAACTTGAAGAGCAGGGGTGAGATCCTGGCCCCATTGAAGTTAATGGCAAAACTCCTACTGATTTCACTGGGACCCGGGTTTCACCCCAGGTGTCTAGAGTCTTCCCCAACTGTCTCCCCATCCCTGGCGGTGAGTGGATGCATCTCCTCCCTCTGGAGTCCCCAAAGATCCTTGCTCCAATCTACAGGATTGTTTACTATCCCTCACCCCTTGCTCTGACTCCTTCCCCCACCCTGTCTGCCCACTTTCCCTTCCATTGGTCCCGGATGCTGCTCCCACCACATACCTGGCCTAGGTCCCCACATGGCATTCCTCCTCCATGGAACACACAGTGATGCAGACAGGCGGTTGCCATGGGGAGGGGGATTGCACCTTCTGTTCCCAGGGGAACCCCTGGCTGAGGGAGGATCCCTCAGTGTGGCCCAGTGTCAGACTTGGGAGCCCTAGGTTCAAGTCCTGGTTCTGCCACTGTCCTCCTACAAAACCTTGGGTAAGTCACTTAGGCTCTCTGTGCCTCTGTTTTCCCTCCCACCCTTTGTCCATTTAGGTTGGGAGCTCTTACTCTGTCTGTGCAGCACCCAGCACAATAGGGCCCCATTGTGCTAAGCATTGGCTCTGCCCACCTTAGGGAAAGGCCATCTCTGCCCCAACGAGCCTACAGGCCAAGTAACGCTGCTATAGGACAAACAGGCCGGAGCGGAAACCCAGAGGTGTAGGATCAGCCCGTGGATAAGGAGCTGATGAGCCCAGTGGTCCAAGTACCTCAGCAGTTTGTACACTTCCCTTGGATCGCTGCCCCTGGGATGGATCGGCTCACGGAGCTGTTCCTTCCCCTGGTGCTGAAATCCCTCCCCATGCATGAAGCCAGCAGTGTAAGCACCCCTCCGGATGCTGCAGGATCCCTCCGGATGCTGCAGGATCGTGTGCTGCTTCCCAGTGATACAGCAGCTGGTCTCTGTGCTCAGGCCTCCCCCTCCCCTTTGTCCTATGTCAGTAAATAGCCCCCGCCCCCATGGTGAGAGTCTCTCCCCCCAGAGACCGAGTCCGCAACAGGCTCGGACTCACTGCGGCTCTGTCTGCACTACCAAGTGCTGCAGCTCCGCTGCTGTGGTGGGGCGCTGGGTGTCACCCCAGAAGGGTTTTTTCTGTCGCCGTTGTTAATTCACCTCCCCGAAAGGCGAACGGATGAGTCCTCCCACTGACCTAGCGCGGTCTACAACGGGGCTCCCATCAGCTTACCGACAGCTCTTGGGGGGGGGGGGGTGGTGAATTTCTCACACCCTGAGCAACACTGCTAGGTACACCTATGTTTTAGGGTGGGCCAGGCCTGACACTCTGTGGGGAGATGAGCTTGTGAGGGAGGATCGCTTTCCTCCCAGCTGGGCCAAGCAGACAGGACTGGAGCCATGTCCTCAACAGTCAGGGTCCATTAAGGATGAAGGGGGAGGTCACAGTGGTTCAAGCATCCTGTGGACTCCTGCTCTCCCTGGCAGTCAATGGAGGGGTGTCTTGCTGTTCTGTGTTTGGAGAGCCCCTCGCACACTTGGGTCTTGCTCCATGACAAGGGCTCTTCAATACACACAACGATAGCCACAAACATCTGTCCATGCTCGAAATACACACAGGGCGCTCTATTTTCCGTAAATCCAACCTTACCCATCCATCAGACACCCCACCCCCCGCATGCTGCTCTCAGCTGCCCGGCCTAGCAGCATGCGTTTTCATTGGTGGCCCACAAGACAGAGCCCTGGCCAGGCCCTCAGGAGACCTGGGTTCTGATCCTGGCTCTGTCACTGGTCTGTGAATCAAATAGCTTCTTTTCCATACAGTGAGCTAGATCTGGGGTCCCTGGAGATTCTGGATCAAAGAACAAAGGACCAAACCCCAATTAACTAATCAGTCGGTAGGTGAGTGATCTACCAGGCACAGGCTCTGGGTGAGAGTCACCAGGTCCAATTCGCCTCTCACCAGGGTTTAACTCCACTGACCCCCATTTCCAATGGGCAATTCAGAGCAGAATCAGCTTCCTCCCCATCACCAACCCAAATTCCCTTGAGGATATGGAGCCAAATGTTGGGGGTGCACAGAGTGTCAACCTGCACCAAGCTTGGACCTGCTGGGCCTCTCCGCTCACTGTCCAGCTGGGGAGGGATGCAGCTGGCGTGTGCTCAGATAGACAGGCTGTGGCCCATTAATCGAGGAGGCTGGTGGTAGTAGGGACGTGCCTGGGGACTGGAGAGCACACTTCACTTCCTCTCGCTGTTTATTAGTTTTCAATCCTCAACGTGAATGTGAAGAATCGGGATTTGAAATGAATGTCAGCCAGGGAGTACCAGAGAAGGAGTACCTCAGTCTAGATCTGCAGTGCCCCTGCCCCTCTGCTATTCCAGCTCTGGGCTTGCATGCAACCCGGCCAACGCATGTCTAGCATGGCCAATCAATGCCCCTCCATACTGACACATTGCTTTTCCAGCCCTATGCCTTTCCTGGGAAAGCAGTCAAAACTCACACTGAATCATGTCCGACGCAATCCAGCAGCCACCGGGGCTACGCTGAGCCTGGCAAGACCTCATGGCACTGGTGGCTAGAGATGGTTCTGAACTGAAGCCACGCATCCGAACAGCCTAGCCCCTGGAAGCTCAGATCCATGTCACACATCAACCCAAACCTCCATGCAGAAAAGGTCATCTTCACCAGGCGGATCCCCTTCCATCACGCCAGGAGACGCACCATTGCAGGACGACCTTAGCAAAGTCCTTCCTTGTCTTCCTCCCAAACTTTGCCAACCTCCCCCCTCCTCTCTGAATGACTCACTGGAGCCAAGGGCTAATAATGAAATTGATTTAATATTCAGAGGTTGATCTGTAACAAGCAACGGACATTCTCCCCGCCCTCCTCCATCTCCCCCCACCACCCAGCACAGACCAGGTAATTAAGAGCAGGCTGGGATTTGTGCCCGCTTGGGTGATGGATGCATATGCTAATGAGCAGAGAGAGGACACTAGTAATTTTCTCCTGTACTTTAAGGCTCTGTGTCCGTCCCCCACCTCCCCAATCCACTTCTTGCTTTGCCTAATTCCAATAAAGGCAGGAGGGGCTGAGGCGTGGTTTTAATTTGCAAGGCAAAGAGAGCGCCCCATTATTTATTTATATTAATCACCATGACCGGCCTGACGGTGCCTTTAATCAAAGGGGAGAGACGCCCTTCAAGGCTCTAATTTGGACTCTTTCCATCACCCCAGGGGGCTGGAAAAAGCAAAAGCAGAGACAAAAGACCCACTTGTCACTTCCCCCACCTTTGCTTTGTCCTGGATCATCCATGGTAAATTCTAGGGGAAGGGCTAGGATCACCCCAGCTCTGTCCCCTGCACCCCTAAAGTTCAGGGCATGATCTGGATTCTGTTCCATTGCAATCAGGTCACCCGCATGGGCGTCATCAGCTAGTTACCAGCGACACCCCCAAATGGACCAGCGACACCCCCAAATGGACCATGTCAGCCACCCACCCTCTCTTCTGCCCTGGGACCCAGGCTTTAGATTCTGTTGTCCAGTCCACGACTGCAGGATCCAGGGCAGGATTTAGGGAGCCCCTGTAAGCCAGCAGCCAGAGAGAGCCCCAGGGTCTGTCTCCATCCAGCAGCCTCTGTAAAGAATCCCCTTTATATTCACTACAGCCTTCTCCTGCCTTGTCTCTGCTGCAAGATAAGCCACATTACCAAGCAGGGGAATGACGGAGGGGAAAGAGACAGCTAAAACAGGAAGACTGAATCAGAACAAAAAGCTGGCCTGCTTCAAAGCCAAGAGGCTCAGGCCCACAGACTAGCATGGGCCCGACCAGACTTGCCAAACAGTTCAGTTCCCAGTTAGGCACCTCAGCGAAACAGGTGGATTTCCAGGAGTGCTCAGCATTGCTGGCAGTGGGAGCTGCTGGGTATTGGTCACTGTTGAAATTCAGGCCACTTTACCTACCTCCCAGCCACACGGTAAAGGACCCATTGGGATGGATTTAGGCTGGTTTTATGTTGGATCTGGGTCCTGTCTGCAGCCATGGCTGTCATGTCAGCATCCCTCTCATTGTATTTTATGGTTCTCTCTCTATTTCTTCCCTAGGCCCATAAAATGGGGCTCCACATCTGTCTCCTCTGGGGGAGTTCCTGGTTCGGGGGGTGAGGGAAGCAGTTGTTCATACACCATGGCGATGGGTGCAGTGGGGAACCAACTCTGAACCAGGGGAGGCGAAGGGAGCTTGGACTGTGTGGTAGCTTACAGTCAAGGTTGTGGTCTTCCTCTGGAGCAGTGTCACTGTGGCCACCGAAAACGACCTTGGGGGTGTGAGGCACTGTTCAAGAGCGCCTCGGTGGCTGTGAATCGACGGCACTGCATTGACATCAGCGGGGCCGCCTGGCACTAGCAGGAAAGCTGGCCCAAGGCTGGCAGCAAGAGGAGTCAAAGCGCTGGGCCGGGGGTTTCTAGAACAGAGCGCAAGGAGTAAGGCTGGCGGTGCAGCGGGGGGAAGGGGAGTGACGTTTGTGCCGCGTGAAGGGTAATTTTCCTAAGAGGGAGGCAGCTCGTGGCGTCTCCTTAATGAAGGGGCGGGCGGCCTGTCAGGGAATTAACCTAACAGATGGGGGCCGAGTGGGTATAAAGGGGGGCTGGCCCCCCATGGACTCTCAGGGAGCGAGATTGTACAGAGACGGGAGAAGATCAGGGAATGAGACAGGAGAAAGAGCCAGGCTGAGCCAGAGAAAGTGAAGGGCAAAGCCGAAGAGAGGGAAGGAAGAGGCCAAAGGCAGGAGAAGCAGAGAGGGCTGAGGAAAAGGAAGGAGAGAAGGTGGAAGAGAGAGAAGGGAAGAGGGGATGGAGGCAGGAGAGGAAGAAGCCTAGAGGAGAGGGCAGGGAGCCAGCCTCATGGAAGGGGGGCCAGAGCGAGCCCACTTCTCTGGGAAGGAGGAGCGGAGGGCAGGACAGAGGGTCTGTGTGCCCGGCCGTGGGCAAGGCTCCCAGGGTAAGTAACCCTGATAATGACCATGGGGAGGGATTGTGTGGCTGGGAATCGGCTCCGTACGGCACAGAGGTGGTTGCGTTCTGGCCTCCGGTCCCCCAAGCCACAGGGAGGAAACACCCCGCTTTTAAGCAGCAGCTGGGAGAGCAGACAGGGGCCAGGTCTGATCCCACCCCTACCCCACAGCAAGGGGTCACAGGGCAGGTGCAGCCCAGAGCCAGTTTCCCCCTGCTGTTGAGACTCAGCCCCGCTAGGCAGGGGAAAGCAGCTCCACCTCCAAGACCCCCAGAGCATCACCAAGGGGCCAGGCAGCGCCAGGCATAGGTGACGGGGACGCCTGTCCACTAGGAACGGCGATGAGGCCCAGCAAACTCATGCCACGGCACCCCCAACTGGTCACGATTCCCAGTGACGGCCAAGCTGTGATGGGATTCGGCCAGCAGCTTCTTCCCAAACCTGTTCATAAAGAGCCGTGAATCCATCTTCTTCCAGAGGGAGACAGCTCGGGCGGCCGTTCGGGGGGCTCCTCTCGCCTCTTGGCCCGATCCCCCCTGGTCCTGCCTTGTGGAGAGGCAGGAGGGTCTCGTGGTTAAGGATAAAGAGAGGCGACCAGATGCGGCCATAGAGGGGCCCTCTCTCGGTCTGCGTCCATGCAACGCCTAGCGCAAGGCGGCCCTGCTCTCTGCTGGACCCGCCGGCGCCCAGGTTCTGGTGGGGCGTGGCTGCTGAGTGCGGGCTCCGGTGCCGTTCTCTCTAGGTGCCAGGCCGGCGTGCGCTGGCTGCGGGGGGAAGATCAGAGGCCCCTTCCTGCTCCGCGTGGCGCCCGACACAGAGTGGCACGTGGGCTGCCTCCGCTGCAGCTGCTGCCGGCTCAGCCTGGCCCACAGCCCCACCTGCTTCCTGCGCGACGGCAGCGTTTACTGCCGAGCCGACTACCTCAGGTAAGGCCCCGCCTCGCGGTGGGGACTGAGCCCGGGGCCTCCTGCTCCGGCCCAGGGACTCCGCCCCGCGGCCGGCTCCTTTTAACCTCTCCGTGGAGCAGCCACTAGGGGGCGACAAAGCCCCACGTTGACCCACCGACCGGCGCATGCTGGGTAGCGGCTGGCTGAGCGGCCCCAGGGCCGCGTCTCCGCCCCAACCCCACTGGGGCCGGCCGCAGGGGCGAGAGAGGAGCTCAGTGCGCGTGGCGGCGGCTGCCGCCCATGGCGCCCCCTGTTGGTGGTTCCCACGCTGCGGCACTGAGCAATCACGGCCGGCGGATGTCCGACATCGATTAGGCGGCCGAGAACCGGCCAACTCGTTGCACCTGGGCCAGTGCCTTCCCACGCTGGTTTGCAACAGGAACAAAACCAAACCAAAAAAAAACCCCCACTCACCTTGCACGGGTGCTGCAGGATGGTCAGAGGCTGGGTGACCACTGGCCTGGGGCTCCTCTCGAAGCCAGCCTGCGTGAGGCCCATGGGATGTGGGCAGGACCCAGAAAGGGCTGGTCTAAATCACCCTGACTCTACAGCTATCAAGGGAACAAGGCCCATTTACACCGGCTAAGCAGCTGGATTTTTGCCCCTTGTCCAGCTGGAGTAGCTGTAATGGGCTCCCTCCCCACCCCATGCCTATCCATGCCAGGTTTGGGTAAGGGGCTCCCCCAGCCATGCCCATCCATGCCAGGCTTGCTCTAGTGAGATCCCTCCTCCTATACACCCCATGCCCATCTGTCTGAGCATCCCCTTTTCTCTGCCCCCCCTCCCCTACAGGCTGTTCTCCATGAGATGCGCCCGCTGCCGGGAGACCTTGCTGCCCTCTGACCTGGTGTTGCGGGCACGAGGGGCTGTATACCACCAGGCCTGCTTCCGCTGCTCCCACTGCCAACGCCGGCTGCTGCCCGGCGAGCAGTTCGCTCTGTGGCAGGACGGGTTGTACTGCTCCATGCACCAGTGGCCTGGGCAGGAAGGGGCGGGGCCGGAGAGGCCAGTATCAGCATGGACCAAGTGGCACCGGTCAGGTAAGCTCTGGGCCGGGTCGCTTGCACGGAAGGGGGCTCCCTGTGGGGAGCACGAGAAGCAGCCTTGGTACAACCCCATGCTGAGCTACCCAGGCAGAGCCTGGCTGCTCCTGGGGAGCCCCAGGCCAAACCCAGTTAAGGGCAAGGCAGGGGGGTTGCCTCACTGGTCATTCCCCCATGGTGCAAGCACCGTCTGCACACACTGCCGCGGGGGCGGGGGAACCATGCGACCAGGCGGGTATTTCACGCAGGAGCTGGTCAACAGCTTCCAATCTCTGCCATCCCGATTTGAACTAGCCCCTGAGAGGGAAGGAAGAGCCCACTCCCAGTCCCCTGGCCCACGCCGAGTTCCAGTGTGCCAACGTGCCCCACTGCCTGGTGTTTCGCCGAGCCCATCCTGCTGGGGTCTAACGTCCTGCCTCTTTCCCTGCCCCCAGCGATGGGCTCGAGCGTCCCCGGGGCCCAGGGCGGCTCAGGGAAGCTGGCCCGCGTCCGCACCGTCCTGAACGAGCAGCAGCTCCAGGCCCTGAGCGCCTGCTATGCGGCCAACCCTCGCCCCGACGCCGGGCTGAAGGAGCAGCTGGTGCGGCTGACCGGCCTCAGCTCCCGCGTCATCCGGGTCTGGTTCCAGAACAAGCGCTGCAAGGACAAGAAGCGGAACCTCATGAGCCAGCGGCAGCTGCCACCCCTGGTAAGAGGGACGTGCAGTCCGTCCCGGGACGGTACAACCCAGGCCAGGGAGGCCCAGAGGCAGTAGAGACTTGAGAACAGAGAGACCCACAGGGTCTGTCTGTGTCCGGGAGCCTTGACAGAAAATCCCCTTTATAGACACCGCAGCCCCAATCCGGTCTCTTCTCTGCCACAGGGATGCTGCAGGAGAAGCTCAGCGCCATCCCCATTAGGAACGCAGCAGCATCTGGTTCACTACTGAGTGTGAAACCGTCACTACTTACACTAGTGACATGAGCCCCGCAGGATGGCTTCTCCATTCAAGGTCCCTTTGCGGGGTCGCAGCCAGGCGTGGTGGGGTTTGGAGTGTAAATCCTGTAAGAGAAGGTGTAAATTGGGTGGGGACCCCAGGGAATCGGAGGTTTGCAAACCTCACAGGCTATTGTGTGGGTTCCAGGTCATGGAACTTTTCACCTGGGATTTATGCCCAGGGAAGGGGGATTCAAAGGAAAACTCCTGCAACGTTTGAGCTGTTCTCTGTGGAGTAACCCTCCACCTTTATATAGTGCTTTTTATCCCTAGAGCTCAGAGGCCTTCCCACAAGTGGGAGACCCCATTTTACAGGGGAGGATACAGGGTACATTTTACAGATCAGGGTAGGAAACTTGCCTAAGGCCTAGAGGCAGAGCCAGAAATAGAACCCAGGAGTCCTGGCTTCCAGTCCAGTTCTCCCATCCACAGGCTATTCTGCCCCCCAAGTTGGCCCTGTCCTGCCCAGCCCAGCCCAATCAGAACTGGTTCTCGTATTAAAGCCCCATCCAAGCTTGAACCAATTTGCCCTCAGTGCGATGCCCCAGGGGCATTCTGGAGGGAAGCTTGGTCTCACCCCCCACCCCCCTCGGCCAGTGAGAGCCAAGCACTGAGGCGCTTGTGTGGAGACAAGTCAGCTGGGCTGAGCCCCGCCAACTCATTTCATAGATGGTCACATTACCCAGCCTTCCTCTCTCTGGTCTCGCCCCAGAGCCTGCAGGGTGCCGTGGGGACCCGGATGGTGGCCGCCAGCCCGCAGACCCAGGACGAGGCGTATGCGTGGAGCCCGGTGGAGGTTCAGAGGGGCAGGTCCTTGTGGCAGCTGGTGAGCTGCACCGAGGAGGCAGGTTTCTCCCAGCTGCTGCGGCTGATGGACCCCGAGCAGCACAGCTGGGTGGGCTCCGTTCTCCGCTAGATTCCTGAGCCAAAGTCCAGCGGAGTCAATGGAAGGGGATCCACTCCAGGGACTTCTGTGAGCTTTGGGTCAGGCCCCATCTACACAGTGTGGCTTGAGGGGTAATTCACACACCCACCCCTGGCACGCCACATCCACTGGTCACAGTGAGTTATAGAGACAAACCCCCCCTACCCCCGCCCGCTCCAGGCCCGGTTGGGTCCAACTCCACAGACCTCGTGGGATTGCACCTGCGTGCACCACACCTGAGCTTGCTCCTCGAGGATGCTGGCCTCCCTCCCTGGCCAATGCCTGCAGCCTCCCCATCCCCCGCTCTGCTTCCCCCCAACCCCCTCTTTCCAGAGGGGAGGCCAGACCCCCCCCAGCAGAGCCCACCAGGGGCAGGGAAACTTGGCTGCAGTCCAGGGAGATCCTGCCCATTTACACCAGCTGAGGATCTGGCCTGGGATGGCCCTGCAGGTGCCCACCTGCTCAGGTTCTTTGCAATCATTGACTCCCTGGTCCGTACAGCACAGCCACTCCCAGGGCTAGATCCCTTCTCTAGCATCTTTCCTTCTCTCCCCCATTGCCCAGCCTCTGCCTTATTTGTCTCAGAATCATGATAGGGTCACATGACCCCTTTTCCTCACCTGGGCAGGTGTCAAAGGTGGGGCTGATACCCATCTCTCCTTAAAGGGCCAGCTCCCTTGTCTCCCTGCCCCACCAGAGCCGCGAACCCTCCCTGTCTCTCTCTGGCTGTTGTATGTGCCTCTCGAGAGGCAGGTGGGATGAAGGACCCTGTACGAAACCCAGCTGGACCGTCCTGTGCTCAGGCTTTGGGAGACTTTGGGCAAATCACAGCCAAGTGGGGGATGCGGGTGGGGGGCAGTTTGCAGCGTCAACATAGATATTTGGGGCTGAGGGGGGTGTGGTTGTCTGGGGGGTAGCAGGGATTTGTGGCGGGGGGAGGTAAGGAGGGGAAATGTCGAACCGCCTACCCCTCAAAGAAATCTTAAAGCCCGGCCTGATCGCACGGCCTACACCAACACCCTGCTGTGTGGCCGGCCGGCCTGGTTAGCGGATGTGACGGGCATGCTCTGCCTCTGGCTAGGTGTGCACAAAACAGGTGACACGGGCAGGAACATGCCCCCTTGTTCTGCGTTTGGTAGCACCAATAAAATTTCTTGTGTCCTGCAAATGGGTTCCCTCTGCATCGCTCAGTACGCCATCCTTGGCGTTTTAACGCACCCCCTCCCTCTCCCCCTGCTCCAAGGCCCTGTTAGTGACACGGACAGTACTAACCTCCTCCTCTAGCTCGTAATCCTCTGGCAGTCCTCGCAACACCAGGCTCAGGAGAAAGATGATCCTCCCAAACCCGGGCTCCCTCTCGCCAGCGCAGGCTTGAATAACACTGGAGGCCAAGCGTAATCCCGCCAAGCATCCGCTAGGTGTCAACCCACTCAGTCACATGGCAAATGTAGCCGCGCTGCGGATTTGGGGCCGGAGGCAATTTGCTTGGAAAGCTGGTTTGGGAGAGTTTAGTCATTCAGCCATGGAAGGGTAGCCCGGCTTGGAAGGGCTGCCAGGGAGGGTCCCGCAGGGTTTGCAGCATGGACTCAGAATAGTCAGAGCTCAGACATCACCGAGTGAGACAAGGGGGCGGGGAGGAGGAAAAAAGGCAGGCGCTCAGCTTTTCACCCCATCGGAAAAGCCTCTTTAGACGACCAGCTCTGTGGAGCAGGGACTGTCTTTGTGTTATGCGTACAGCGCCTTGCACAATGCTGTTCTATCCAGGTTCTTATACCGCACCCATCCCCGGACGATCGGAGCGCCTTCCAGTCACACATTAAGCAATGTGGCCCGCTTCTGTCACGTGTGGTTTGTTCTTTCTCTCGTCCCCTAGCACAATGAAGCCCTGATCCTTGACCGGGGCTGCGAGGCACTACAGAGATAATAATTAATTAGTAGGCGCCTCAGAGAGAGGAATCTTGACGGGATTTGCGTGTCCCACTCCCTTAACCGCTTTTGGAAAGCCCAGCCCTATATTACTATTCCAGCCCCTCCCACCCGCCACCCTTGTTACTGTGGTGCAGCAGCTGGCCTCCTCCCCGGAGGTGGTGATGCCCACGCAGACGGGGCGCAATGGAATAAGCCGTTTGATTCTAGACCCCAGTTGTTATCACATCACCGCGTTGGGTTCAGCTTTCGGTGCCACTGAGCTCCCAGCTCAGGGACCGGGTACCAGGAATCAGTAACTCGCGTCGGCATCTGTCATGTAGCCAGCAACCTCTGTGCCTGCCAGGGCCCATCTTTACAAGCTCAGCCTCGAAAAGGAAGAATCTAACTTTGCCACTAGGGGGCAGCACAACTCCAACAAAAACCCGCCCCCCCCAAATAAGCTCTATTGGAAAGGAAACTTTCTTTCATGCAAAAAGATGAGGCTGTGGGTCCACCAAAGCTGCAATGAGCCTGTAATCTCCCCCCTTGCTGGGAATGTTGGGGGGAAGGGGTATCCCCAGACCCTGCTTCCCGCGATGCAGTTTAATCTGGGCACTGGTCGAAGTAGGAAGGAGTTAAAATGGAACGAGCTTGGGAGGGGGAAGTGTCATTAAGCCTGGTACCTGTCACTGCAGGTCTCTTATGGGATGACAGAAGGTTGCATCATTCTGTATAGATAGGATGCAGTAAGGGGAAGAAGATTCAACCTGTCATCGATCTATCCATCCATCCATCCATCCGTCCCCCCACACCCACCTAAGAGCTGAGAGACACGAGGAGAAATATACATGAAAAGAATTCAGTTCCCAAGCAGCAGGCCCATAGCCTGCCAAGCCACAGTGTGTGTATGTGTGTGTGTGGTGTAGGGATGTGTGCGTCCAGCGTGCGCGTGCCATGGCTATGTGCGGTGTGCGTTTGTAGAAGGTATGCCTGCCTGCTGTACGTGCGGTGAGAGTGAGGCATATGTGTAGCATGTACAAGTGTGTGCCTGGGCCATGTGTGTAGCTAACATGGGCTGGAGACTTGGGTGTGAAATCACACGGGCGCTCCTTGCCCTGGTGGCTGCCAGCCGCTGTGGCAGTGCCCTGCATTTCCAGGCCGGATTGATCTGTCCTGTGCCCCTGACCCGCCTTGCCCTGGAGCAGCCAGATCTTCCTTGAGCCTGGGCTGTCAGCTGGAGCAGTGCTTCTGTCCTCTGCTGCTGCTTCCCCCACCAGCAGAAAGGATGCGGGCCCCAGAAACATTCCACCCAAGCACCTGCTCCTCTTTGTCCAGGCTCCCCTGCCTGGCCAGTCCTCAGGACCGCAGCTGAGGGGGCAGGGGAGCACCTCCGAGCTCAGGTGAAGGGGATCCAGACGCTCCAGGCCCCCCAGGATTTCCTCTCCAGGAGCAGGCTGTGATTAGCAGGTTGCTGAAACTTTCCGGCTGGACCAGAGCAGCATGTTAAAGAGCCCGGGGCACTGGGAGGATGCAGGCTCAGCGTCAGCCCTGGAGTAACAAGGAGGAAATGCAGAGATCACAACGCCAGTGGGGCTAAAGGAAACCAATTCACATGCCTCCCCCACGCAGGCATGGCTGCAAACTGCTAACCCCTTCTGGGCAGCCCGGCCCTCAGCCGTGATGGGGACTCAGCTGTCCAGGCTGTAAAATGGGGCTAATAAATCTGATCTATTTAGGCTATGAGCTCTTAGAGGCAGGGGCTCTCCCACAATCGAGGCCCTGATCTCAGCCAGGGCCTCTCTGTGCTACTGTAACACAAGGAAAAACTGGGGGGGGGCGCTGATTCTGGGAGCTCTGATGCAGTGGCTCAGCCCGCTAGCCAGCTGGCCTAGTGGTCAGGCAGTGGCCTCACAGGTCTTTCCAGTCTGCCTGTCCAGAGGGGGCCTTGCCAGGCTGTATATAGCAGGCCTCAGTCTATCCTTTGTGTTCCCTCTTTGAGGGTTCTGGCACGACAGAGGGGAGGGCCCCAGGCTTCCCACTCCACCGGTCCCAACCCAGGGCCTTTAAGGGGTGTTGCAGTGGCTGGACCACTCATTGGTCCACCCCAAATTATGCTCCCTGCTGGGTCATGGCCTACCGGGCTCTGGCTCCTCCGTTTGGGGTATGGTCCCAATCTCAGTATCTGCGTCGTCTGCCAGGACAACCTCTCGTTCTTCGGGGCCTCTGGGGGGGTTCTCGGCTGCAAAGAGAAGGGAAACCTGGATCTCTGCTCCCAGAGTGGCCTAAGCAAGGCGGCAGTCACTCTGCCGGTGGCTCCAGGCATCAGCCTGATGGCCCAGTGCAGCCCATGCACGCTCTCACCGGCCTAGCAGTGCCCTTTTAAACTGCCCCTCTGCTTACACCATGCCCTGCAGCTGCTGAGGGGCAGGGCCTCCCTGGCCCAGTGCGGCTCCAGGCCTTGCCCTGGGTCCATACACCCCTTCACCCAGGGGGATGGGGAAACGGCAGTGAGGGTCACAGGCAGCAGGGATGGAAGGAGGGAAATCAAAGGCCTAAGGCAATGCACACACCGTTCCCTGGGAGGAAAGAGGAGAACACCGCTCCGATTCCAAGCTGTTGAAAAATCCATTGCAGGTCCCAGGGGAGCCAGTGGTTGAGTCCAGGCTATGGCCCAGCTTGGATAATATATCAAGTGAGATGGCAACGCAGCCCGGAGTGCATGGGGGAAGGGCTGTTAATGCATGTAACCCAGGACTCCAACCCGGCTGCTTCACTGGGATGTGGCCAGATGGAGCTCAGCATGTGTGGGGGCGGGCGCTCTCCCCCTAACCTGGAGCGGGTGTTGTGACCTCCTGATGGTGCAGCTCCAGGTGCTGCCAGAAACTGCTGCCCCGAGAGTCTTGCTCCCAGGGAGGCCACTGGGTGATGGGACAGAACAATGAGCAAGAGCCTGGTTTTGAGCTCGCTAAGGTCAGGATCGGTCCATTGACTTCAGTAGTTACCCCTGCTTGCACCAGCGGCAGTGAGAGAAGAATCAGGCCCTCAGGATCTGGCCCAAGAGCAATGACACCAGACATGTGGTCTGGCAGCCTGTGGGCTCTGGGAAGCCCCTTGCTAGGCAGGGCTGGGTTTAACTTTGGCCACACATCGAATCATAGATTAGGGTTGGAAGAGTCCTCAGGAGGTCATCCAGTCCAACCCCCTGCTCAAAGCAGGACCAACCCCAGCTAAATCATCCCACGTCTCTTCCCTGCCATGCTACAGAAGTACATAGCACTGAACTGAAACAGGGAGCCTGGGTCTGCCTGGCTGCGTGTGCGTACAAACGGATGTGCGGGAGTTTTTTTGACACCAGTATATGGGAGGGGGGGCCCTTGATTCTTGATCTACTGTAAAACATACAGCCGCACATGTGCATAGACAAGCACACACATTACACACATGCATACTGCAGGGACCAAATGCACATGCAGTGTTTACACAGATGGGCAGAGGTATGAGCCTTTGCTTCATGTATACACACGCACGCACGCACAGAAGCACACCCCCATGAAAGCAAACTGCAGAGAGAGCAGTGTAAGCAAGCGCACTCCACCCCCAGGGATACAAGGGGGGGGATGTGAATTCTGGAGGGGTTGTCTTTGGGTGTCCAATATTTAGGTTTCTGGTTTTTTCATAGGCGTTTTCTGGTCGAGACATTTTATGGAGAAGTTGGGGGCGGGGCGGGGGGCAAGGGAGGAATCAAACAAGCTTGGGGCTTCTCAGGGTATTTTGGTTCCTGGCTGGAAGCAGAAAGGGCCCTGAAAAACGCCACGCTTTCTGGGTATGTTTGCAGATCCCTAAGGCAGACACGTGGCGCAAGCCGGCATGCATGGCCATCCAACGGCAGGCCCTTCCCAGCACAACCACAACCCATGTATGGACACGCACCCCGACACACTGCAGCGTGTCTGTACCTGTATGTCTACTCATGTCTCAGTGTGTACATCTGCGTCTGCATGTGTAGGAGTGTATCATGTGTCTTCGCGTGTTGTGGCATGTACACTGTATGTACTGTGTGGCGTGTCTCGCTGTGTTCATCCGTGTGTCTGTTCCTGTCCCACCTCCTCCCCAGCTCTTCAGGACCAGGTTCCTCCCTGCCCAGCGCCGAGGGCCTTGCTGGCAGCGATCCTAATGAATTCAGCGCTGTCCTTAGATCAAACAGCTGGACGAAAAGGTGTTTCTCAGCCCCCTCTTTATTCCGCCAGCCTCCCCCGCTCCCCCCGCCACCTGTCGCTCGTACAAACAGCTTGTTAGCAGCTGCATCTTCAAAGGCCCCTCAGAAAGGAGACTGCTGGGGGCACGGGGCGGGGGGGCTGAGCTGATCTGCCTTCTGTCCCCCACCTCCTGACGGGTCCCCCCATCCCCAGCCCCACTTGCTAACAGCACCTGAATGCGGTCCCTCGGCTTCTTCAGCCAGTGTCGGGCCTGGTCCCCCGCGTTTGGGGTCACTGCCCCCCTGCTCCCATGCCCACTCTGTGCCCCTCCTGCCATGGTCTGGCCCCCCTCTTACCCTTCCCCAGCCCTCCTCCTCCCCATGAGATATCAGTGCTCTGGGCGGCCAGGACCATGGGCGGAAGGGTTTTGGCTGGGGTGGGGAAGGGGCTGGGACTAGCAGGGTGCATGGCCCCCAGTCTCCCCTGGGAGAACCTGTGGGGTGACTCCCGGCCTCGCAGGCTGACAGCGAAGGAGACCGAGAGAACCGCCAGGTCTGGCAGGGTCCAGCAGCCTCGCTATCTTCCCTGCATCCCAGCCCTGGCGCTGAGGGGCACCCCATAGGGGAAGAGGGGTGGGATCTGGGAGGAAGGATCCGTTCTCCATGCCTCCACTTGTCCCCAAAGCAAGAGAGCTGTCCCCTCCCATCTCCAGCTCCACACGGCTCCCAGGATTGAAACCTAATTACAGCCCCCATGGCCGGGGCAGCTGACGCCCCGTATCTCTGATCGGGATCTTAATGGGTTCTCTATGGAGACCGAACGCAGCCTGGGAGTTACGGCCAGAGGCCTGGCTGGGCCCAG